CAATCAAACTTCAACAAAATAAGTTCCAAAATAAATTACAAGCCAAATACAACCAAAATTCAATCCAAATATATATTACAATCCAAATTCAATCAAACTTCATTAAATTCCTCCTAACATTGAAAAGTAGCTGGAGCTATGGTGCTAGGTGTGGATGAACTCATAATATCGAACTAGGTCCTTACACATAATAAAGCTTATGATATGAGAGTGAGACATGTATTAAAATTAGGTCCTTACACATGTAATAAAGCTCAAAACAGATTAATAAAACATAATACAGCTTAATAAAGCTCAAAATTAGGTCCTTACACATGTAAGAACAAAACAGTATATGAGTTAAAAGCTATATATATACATCCTCAAGTGGCAGAACCCAAATTCGTAATTCTCTACATAATAAAATATAGCATCCCTCTGTATAGTTCCTTCTCATGATTTGTTTTGGTTCATGGAAACACAAGTGGCAGCATTGCACAAAATGCAAATCAAATACAAAACAATCTGAGAGAAAAATCAGAATTTGCATGATAGACTCAAACCCTAGATAACAAAAGCACAAATTATGAAGAAGCAGAATCATAAAATGAAAAACAAAAGGAGACCCAGATCACAAAATTAGCACAAAATCAAGAAACAATTGAAGGAAGGGAGATTAAGAGGAACTAACACGTATGAAGGCAGAGTGATATGGTTGTAGCCTCCTTCAATAGCTTATTACAACACAAGGCAAATATTAGCCAATGAAGACCCAGAAATCTGACCAGAAGTGTATACAAACAAGAACTTTTCGTTATAACATGAATTTGGCAGATGAAAACAATTAAAAACAGAGGAAATTTATCCACAAAAAACAATTAAAAAATTTGTAGAATTTCTGCAGAACATCAAAATCTTAGAGAGAGACATAGAGAGAAATGAAGAATACCTCAGAGAGTGGCAGAACTGCTGCTGGAAGCTGCAACCTGCTCCGGAAATACGGATACTGATCTGCACGAACTGCTACTGGAGGACATAGAGATGGTCAGATAGAGAATTGAAAGGGGAAAAGAAAAAAAAGAAAAACAAAAAAGAGAAAGCCAAAATCGAACCTGCTTGCGTGACAACGGCGCGACGACTGAGAGGGAGCTTTGGCGGGACGACGGCTGAAGAGAGGTTTCACGCAGAGGAAAAGAGAGGTTCGGCGACTCAGATCAGACAGAGAGAGAGGAAATGAAATTGAAGAAGGAAGAAAGAAACCTAAGTCATGTTTTAGTTGTGATGATCCTATGTGTGTGTGCGTACGGTAATATTTTAGACATCCAATACAAAACAGCCACATGTTAAGCTATATATATATAATATAAAATATAAATATATCAGTTATTCTCTTATCCGGATGTCCGCACGTTATTATCGTGCGGATCCTATTGTAAACAGGCAGGAAAACAGAGAGGGGTAGTACAAAATACACGGCGTCCGCACGTTATTATCGTGCGGATCCTATTGTAAACAGACAGGAAAACAGAAAGGGGTAGTACAAAATACACGGCGTCCGCACGTTATTATCGTGCGGATCCTATTGTAAACAGACAGGAAAACAGAAAGGGGTAGTACAAAATACACGGCGTCCGCACGTTATTATCGTGCGGATCCTATTGTAAACAGACAGGAAAACAGAAAGGGGTAGTACAAAATACACGGCGTCCGCACGTTATTATCGTGCGGATCCTATTGTAAACAGACAGGAAAACAGAAAGGGGTAGTACAAAATACACGGCGTCCGCACGTTATTATCGTGCGGATCCTATTGTAAACAGACAGGAAAACAGAAAGGGGTAGTACAAAATACACGGCGTCCGCACGTTATTATCGTGCGGATCCTATTGTAAACAGACAGGAAAACAGAAAGGGGTAGTACAAAATACACGGCGTCCGCACGTTATTATCGTGCGGATCCTATTGTAAACAGACAGGAAAACAGAAAGGGGTAGTACAAAATACACGGCGTCCGCACGATAATAACGTCCGGATGTCCGCATAAGAGAATTTCTGTAAATATATATAATATAAAAATATATATTAATTAATTGTATTGGATCGGTTCGGATTGGACCAATCCCTTGTAGTGAGAAATCGAAATCAAAATCGATTTGAACCAGTCCGGTTTGGATTGGACTCGATTTTTGACTTTTTCAATCAACCCGA